TTGTAACTCATCTAATTTGAGGTCTTAGTTTTGTTTTTCAATTCCTCCTTGTACTCTTGCATTTCGTTCAGCCGAAGATCTGCTAACTCACAATTTTTCCAAGCATCAAACCATGGTCCTCCTCGAGTGTAATGTACTGCCTTTGGAAAGGTTTTCTGTCATTCTCGACAACCTTGTTATGGCCCTCAAGAAAATTCCAAACAAACGGGACTGACCCAATTTCATCATCCTCGAGCCACTGGAACCTATGAAGAAAAGCACCCGTCTGCGAATTCACAATATCGGGTGTCAAAACCTTGTTCTTGGGATGTCCACAGTTGTAAAGCACCATTGAAGACCAATTCTTTCTGGGATAAACAGTCTGCACTGCACCATCCATTTTGGTTGTTTCTTTTGGAGTGTAATCATGTTGAACACACATGATTGCATATTTATCATCAATCAAGTCTGTTAATTCCTTAATGTCAGCTAAGTAAAGAAAATCACAGTCAACAAACATTGCCCATCCATCAAAATTGGCTAAGTATGGAGTCAAGAACCGAGTAAAAGAGAACTCAGTACTCTCCAATTGACCTCTTTCTCTCCAGTACAAGCCATTTTTTCTGAGATCTGATTGAACTATTGGAGTGATCTCAACAGGGATTGAAGCCCTTTTCAAGATTGAATGCTTACACACCTCATATGCAAGATCCTCACGTGGATCATAACCCACAAAAATCTTGAAGGGTTTCTTCATATCCTCATTGCTAACTACTGAGTGAGCATTCCCGTTGCTCAGAGTCATTGTAGGAGATGGGGATTGTATTCCAGGATCTGCAGATTCAATAGTAAAAAACCATTAAAAATGAACTCTAATCTCCAAGCAATAAAAAAGGGAAAGGAGCAAATGCTTAGCAAAATCAGAATCAGCCAGAGTTTTTCAAATTCTCTCAAATCAAACTAGTGGTGTTGCCCTGTTTCTTGAGGATTCTTAAGGAACAAATTAAACGATTCATAAAATTTTCTGAAGAAACCAAAATATACTCAATACATCAAATCAGAACCAACCACATTTTGTTGCTTAGAAAATGTCAAAAAGGGAATATAGCTAAAACAATATAAACACCCAAAGAACAACAGATACGTACTGTAAGATCTAGGAAAAATACCCACGACTCCAAACTCGTGAAACAATCAAACAAGAATATGCCCATTAGCCAAAAACACAAAACGAAGAAACCCAGAAGCCAACGATGAAAGAAAGTAACCTAAATTACAAACCTGGAGAGCGAGAATTACAGATCTCGTAATCTTCAAGAAGAAGAAGAGATTGTTTGTACTTGGATGAATGAGAACGATAATAGAAATCACATGAAAGAGGAGAAAGGAAGA